ATCCCTGGAAATGTTACCAACCTTACCCTCAGTATAAATCACATTCCCCATATCTATGCCACATCCTTTGCTCACCTTAAAAATCTCATAGAGATTGACTTCAGATGCAACTGTGTGCCTGTCAAAATGGGGCCCAAGGATCATGTGTGCAACAGTAGTCTGAAGATTGAGAATGGCAGTTTTGCTGCCCTGGCAAGACTGAAGTCATTGTATTTGGATGCAAACCAGCTGGTGGAAATACCTCGAGGTCTTCCTGCTTCTTTAACCCTGCTGAGCCTGGAAGCAAACAGTATCTTTTCTATCCAGAAGGCCAACTTTTCAGAGCTAGGAAACATAGAGGCATTGTATCTAGGACAGAACTGTTACTACCGCAATCCATGCAATGTCTCATTTGAAATTGAAAACACAGCCTTTCTGGAGCTGAAAAAATTAACAATACTGTCCCTGAAGGCCAACAACTTAACGCATATTCCCCCCAATCTGTCATCTACCTTAAAGGAATTGTATATTTACAACAACATGATTGAAGTGATCGAAGAACATGATTTGAGTGCCCTTCCCAACCTAGAAATTCTTGATCTAAGTGGCAATTGCCCACGTTGCTACAATGCCCCTTATCCTTGTATTCCCTGCCCTAAGATCTCAATTGAGATACATGCAAAGGCTTTTGATTCCTTGAAAAGTTTAAGAATTTTGCGACTTCACAGTAACTCTCTTAGGAGCATATCCAGTAGCTGGTTTAAAAACATCAAGAATCTCAAAGAGCTGGACCTCTCCCAAAATTTCCTCATGAAGGAGATTGGAGATGCTCAGTTCTTGAAGCTTATCCCTAGCCTTGTGGAGCTGGATCTGTCCTTTAATTTTGAACTGAAGATGTATTCTCCCTTCTTGAATCTGTCTGAGACATTTGCTTCCCTCTCTAACCTGGAAACCCTGAGGCTCAAGGGTTATGTCTTCAAAGAACTGAGAGCAAGAGACCTACACCCACTGCTCAGTCTTAGGAATCTAACTGTGTTGGATCTGGGGACTAATTTTATTAAAGTTGCAGACCTAACAGTGTTCAAAGAATTCCCAGCTCTTAAGTTCATTGACCTGTCAGTGAATAAAATTTCTCCTTCTTCAGGGGAAAGCAACTTCGATGGATTTTGTTCTAATCCTAGGATATCAGTAGAGCAATACCACAGGCAAGTACTACAAGAGATGCATTATTTCAGGTATGAT